ACCGTCGTGTTTTTTCCTCACCGGTTATATGCATATCACTGCTTCACATAATGAATATTTTACTCATATGGGAATCGAACACGTAAGTGACTGGCGGAACATCACACATTTATCCACTGCGCCACGAAGCATCCATCCCCCGGGAACTCATTTTTATTCCCAAAACAGTGCCGCCACTCACTAACTAACTCAGATGGACAAATCCCTCCTCCAAAGAATGCTTGGAAAACATGCTGTTGCCAGTTCCAGCCATTCGTACGAGAGGAATAATGATAAAATTTTTCGGCCTATTAGAATTACAGGATGAATTATGCAACTTTCAGGTTCGAAATCACTGTCACTGTCACTATATCTAATTGAAGAACTGAAGCAGAGCCACACCAACAGCTTTTTTGAAAGATGAATTCAAACTTCACAAATAATGTCGCTATCAACAGATTCCACAAAAAATCTGCAAACCAACCTCAGCATTTTTCAGCCATTTGATCATTAGATGGAAAGATTCTTCATAGCTTCGTCCCACCAGTCGACCCAGTGTTTCATACATTGCTCCCAAACATTGCAATGCGGCTCTGGAAAACTCTTAAATTAATACATTAAAAACCCAAATTTCCAAAAAATCCGAAAAATATGGGGCTAAATTAATCAGGTTAAAAGCATGTAACCAGCACAACGTGACGAACTGCTGGATGAAATAGGAACTAACAATTTAACAGGAAGATGTGTTGGCGAGTCATCACGACCTTTCAGGATATCGTTGCAGAAGTTGATCGTCTCGAAAAGACTGTACGTGTCACCAACCGAATATATCTAAAAATTGTTAACGATGACAACAATAACGACGACAGTTATGGCGTAGAACAAAATTCCGCAAAAGCAGTTGAACAAGGGTTGGAATGCAATTAGTGCTAGAACATGCCTGAGCGATACATCTTGCCAGTAGCAGTCGTGTCGGCGGTCCAGGACCCGCTAAAATACGCTGTGTTAGCTGCTCGATAAGTTGCTTCTGTACACTCTTAATATCAGCCTGAAAATACAATGCATAAAGGGAGCTCCGAATAAATTTTTGGCGTAAAATAAAAATCAGAAGGCGGGTTTTTTTTTTGACCCAAAGTAAGCCATTCCGGCGAATCTAATAGAATTAAGCGCAAACCTTTTGTGCGGCGGGTAAGATGCGATCCAAATACCGTAACCATTCGTAAATAAAAACAGGCTTCTTTGGATCGGCGCAAAGATTTAGCGCTTCCTCATTGAGAAGCAACGAATTGGACTGCTCAATCATGCTCACACATACATGCCGCTCACTGAAACAAAGCTCCGGAACCGATAAATCGAACACGTCAGCGCTCTCATTGAACAAACAGACTCGCTGTGAGCAACATTTCGAAGAAAGCGAGTTCCGCAGACGTTTGAAATTACAGGAGAAATCGCAAAGGATTGCGCTCGGTCACAATCCAAAACAACTAATAAGCAAAAATGAATACTGGGAGAAAATAGGCCAAAATGTAGATGAATTTGCCATAAAACTCATACACAAGTAAAATAACCAGAATATTTACATAATATGCGCTAAATTTACAACTGCTTGGCTTTATTAGTGCGCCGGAGTTGTCGCTTACTATAACTATTAACAACAGACAAGTAGCAACACCAGAAAACATGAAATCCAGTAATCTGCGTGAGCAATACACTTCCAATGTACAGTACAAAACTTTTCACGGTGAAATGTTAGCAGCCTTCACCCAATGATGAGGCAAGTTGACTTCACCAAATTGACAATGAACAAATGATAAAAGTAATTATGAGCTCAAAACTAGCAAAATAACAGACCACTTCGGCTGTCACCAGTTTTCCTCTCCAAACCTCGAAGAGATTTAGCCAGCTTCCCAAAAATTCCAATTGAGTGGGTGCAAGTCCCTGCGGTTTTATTAGCATAAATGTGGTACCCATGTACTCAATTTCTGCACTTGGCCAAATGAATGCAAATAGTGCTATTACATAATTTTTGCCAATCCTTGCGTTGCTTGGCGAAGATTATTGTGAACCAATTGATTTAGGTGGGTTTTTATCAAAAAGAGGTCTCCCTGAACGTGGTTTGTAGGACAAATCGAATTTTCCTTCTCGGAAATGCGAAAGTCATTCTCGTGCCTTCCTTTCAGCAAGTGCTTCCCTTCCGTATACACCACATATTCACTTTTCGCGGTTTCTGCAGCACCAGATCCTCGACTAAATTCGAAGAGTAAAATGTGTCGGAAGTGTTCATTTTTCTCTATTTCACACTCCACAATGATTTAGCCTTGAAAATGGCCAAAACGAGCTGTTAAAAACACACAAGCTTCTATTCGCAACAATGAAACTCCAAACAGAAGAAGATCAACTGAATAACGAAAAACAACGCCTTCACAATACAGTGGTGCCAACCAATGAATAAAAACGGCACGGACTTATGTATAGACCCAGTAGTTAAATTCAAGCTCGTGGATATCGGCAGACATTCGCGGCCGTAGCACTGATCGAGCAATCCAAAAGCTTGTTTAAAAAATTCTAGAAGCTTATGTGATCCAAATTATGCTAGATTCTATGTTGTAGTTCTGTCATACACCGGCAGATCCCCCATACTCGCATCCATCAGGCTAGACGCTCGCACCTGGGGGCTACTCGTGATCAAGTAGTTGAGGCTGCGCGTTGGGCATGTGCTTCCAGAATCGAACTTCATTCAGTGCAGTCCTTCGGTAAACACAAGTTTTTTGTTATAGAGGATTTGTAGGCTATCTTTCGTAAAGTACCAATGTTGAACAATATTCGAAATTAAGCCTATCTGAACTAAGATTTACATCTCCAAAGAACATATATAAATACAGAAATATATACACACACGTAGATGCTTTCATAAACACATATATGGACGCACACATACACGAATGGGTACACACTCACATTACGTATATGCACAAAACAAACACAC